TGCAGGATGTGCAGGTTTGTTGTATAAGTAATTGTGTGCCATAGTGGTTTGCGGCTCCTATCAACCTAGCGCCTAGGCATTAAGCCCAAAAATCATTAGCTATTTTCCCTAATACTCTTTAAGTAAGAATTTCTAATCCTTCTATCGACTCTGCTGAAATTGCCAAAGGTGGGAACCAAATCAGGTCTTTGAAAACTGAGGTCAGAACTCCAGTTCTGATGCTACTATCTCTCATCCTCAAAGCCAGAAGACAGCTGACTACCCCACCGTTGGGTGCCAGCCACTTCCCAGAGGGGCAGGCTTGTGAAGACTATGAAGAATCACCACTGTGAGCCAGCCTGAACTGCAATGTGGGAGCTGAAAGCCTGCCCCATATTGAAAACCGTATCATTTACCTGGTAATGAATGAAGGCACCAGTCCAGGCACAAATCCATCAACTGGAAAGTATCATTCTCATACACTACAAATGTAATTCTTGTGTGCGTGTGTGTGTGTGTGTGTGTGTGTGTGGTTTTTGTTGTTTGTTTTTTTGTTTTGCAACGCAGGGTAGCATTGTAACTAGGAGCACAGACTCTGGAGTAAGAATCTCTGAGCTTAAATCCTGGCCCCATGCTTGAGTGATCCCAGGGAAGTCACTTATTGTGCCTGAGCTTCCTTTATTTTACCTGTAAAACATGGAAAGTGATGCCGCTTCCACCCCACAGCTGTTTTAAGTATTCAGAGATACTTAAGACACCTGATCTGGAAGAAGAATTGTCAAAAGATGAGTTCAGAACTCTCAGTGTGAACCACAGCAAGAAAGCTTCTATCTCCCAATCACAGCTTCAATTGGACCCAATCTGAAAGTGGCCATAACTTGGAAAACCACTCAAACTCCTTTCATGCAATTTTATAGCAGATCTGAAGCTGTTTAGCTGCACCAGGCCAGGCGATAAGCGAGAAGAGGAAGCTCTGTCTGTGTTTATAGCCTTTGACAAATGGGCTCTCATCTCCTCCTGACACATTCTCCCCGTGACTGGTCCATCAGCCTCTCCTCTCATCACCTGAATCTCAGTCTTCATAATAGTATTGAAATTCAGATGGATTTTACACCACAAATAAAAATTAATTTAAATGCCTCAGTGCCCTGGCAGAAACACCAGTACTGTAAATGTCAAATGCTTGGGGTTTTGTGAGGCCATACAGCCGCTCCGAGTGATAGGTTACCTCCTGTCACCTTTGCTAAATCTACATTAGCTCCACGACGTTCACCTGCAGGAGGGAAAAAACCCCAAAACCCCTGTGCTCCTGCTTCCATTCAAGGGTAAAAAACTCCACCAGCCTTTAAGATCTCCCCAGAACACCCTCTGAGATAGTTTAAGAAATGGCCAGGAACCTGTCCAAGCAGAGGCACATTCACAGGGGCTCTGCTAATTGGCAGGCTTGGAAGCAAAAGAAAAACTTAAAACCACACTCCAATACACATTATGAATTTCCCCATGAACAGCCAGGCAAGGTTTTCCAAATGACAATTAGTTTTCTGTCAGCCTGAGAGAAAAAAAGCTTCTGGGGACAAAAAAGAAAAAGAAAAAGAAAAACAGGAGAGGGGAAATTTCTTTCAGCCTTTGAAGAGTCTCAGATCGAGCCCAGACTGTGTGCAGATGAAGAAGGACGATGCTATTGCTCTTCATTAAGATGAGGGCTCTCTTCAACTCTTGAAATTCACCTTTTATCTTCTATTATGATATCTGGTCTAAGATTTCAGTGGGAAAATCGCTCCTCTCAAGGTAAACGGCCCCACTGAACGGAAGAGAATGGGAATGAGGGGCAAATTGGAGAGGCCCTGTAGGACTATACGGAAAACCTAAGATTCTGTCTCGTCTAAAACTCTTCTACCAAGAAGATATTCAACAATACACATAGGTATAGATGGAGGTGCACAAATATATCCATATACCTGGGATATTGGAATCAAAGTAAAGAGAAAGCCAGGAGAGGTGAAAAATAAAAAATAACAAAAAATAAAGTGATTCTTGGAAAGCCATCTCCTCCTATAGGGGTTCTGTGGAATGTTCTTAACTTAAAAAAGGAGCTCTAAAGAAAGCACTGCCAGTTCTCTTCCAGAGCTCTTAACATTCACAGAAACCTACATGGGCCAAGGGGCTGCCGTTTCAGAGACAGGTTTACTTATGATTTTGGCACCTCTGCCATCTCTTGTCACTTCAATTTCACTTTATCAAATTACTGATTTTGCCAGAAGCATTCGGATTAAATGGAGAGGGACACGCACACACCTGCGGGCTAAGTGTCATCACTCCAGTGGTGAAATTTCATAACTACACATCAGCATGGCAGAGACACCAGAGTGCACTCCCAGAACCCGACGGAGATCACTGCAGCTGCTGTGGCCACCGCCGTGTCCCTGCGTGGCCTCATGCCATATCACTGTGCAGTGGGGGAGGGGATGGAGCACTTCTGCCAGGGGGAGAGGGGCACGCTGCCCTTCTGGGATGATTAGAATTTGCTTCTTGACTTTTCCATTAAGGGAATTGTCTCCAGGATACAAGGCTACCTCCTAAAACCTCACCCACAACCTCTTCTTAATAATGGTTAGAACCAGAGAAACTATAATCTGAATATAACATTCATGATATTACTGGGAATTTGAAGGAAGGAAGGAGATAAAGCAGGAAGAAAAGGAGGAGGGAAATAGGGAAAGAAGAAAAGAGGGAGGGAGGGAGGAAGCGAGGGAGATGGGGAGAGGGGAGGAGGGGGAAGGAGGAGGAAGGGGGAAGTGGGAGGAGAGAGGGGGGAAAGGGGGAGGGGGAAAGGGGGAAGGGGAAGCAGGGAAGAGAGGAAGGATGGAGGGAGGGAAGTCCCCTTGTTCAACAGAAAGAATAAAATGTCCTTAGAGAGTAAGACAGTGCAAATTTTAACTGGGCATTATTTTTTCTTATCACTCATTCATTATCAATTAACTGCAACAAACTGGAAATTTATCTATCAGTCATACGAGGTCAAATTTAAAAAACAATTGGAAAACTCATCAGAAACAAGGCTTCATTTGACATTTATGACTCAATCCAAATATTTATTTTAAAAAAACTAGAAATGTGTATTTTCCCCTTTCTTAAAAAGAGCAGAAATCGCACATGTGCAATAGGACCATTAATGACTTTTTCCCACCAAGATGCATCATGAAGTAGCCACGGACCTGGGAAGTTGTCATCGTGACGTCTTAACCAAAGGCAAATCGTGTAGGTGGAGCAGACCTTGGGTGACTCTCCTTGCCCAGAGCTTTCCCTGGATGTTTATTTATCTTGTTTGTGATGGAGCTCAGATTATTCTAACAGCATCAGTTCCTATGGGATCTTTCAAGCACTATTAGCAATTAAGTGTTTTATAAAGACACCGGACGGAAAAATGTGTACGAATTCCATACAAGTCCAAGGGAAGCACAAACAACCTTTGGAAGCAGGTTGTGGAACATGCCTTCTGAACACTGTGACATGAGCGCAATGACTGGGCTGGGTAGAACATTGGTGAAAAACTTTGGACACACACTTCACGTAAGCAGCAGTTTCATCTGTCCAACTCGCAAAATACACACATGCATATACCAGCACGCCAACATGTTGTGAATAAAAACATGGCATTCCTTTGCCTGCAAATGAGCCACACACAAGTGTAAGCTGGGATCAGGCAGTTTAAATGGAAGCTACTGTATTGATTCTTCTTCTCAGAGTGAGGAGATGAACACTCCCTAAAATAATGTGTGGCAACTGCTCTTTATTTAAAAGTAAATTTTTGTTTTGAGAAGTCCTCTACCACCTTATTAATCAGCAGACATGCCCAAACCATCATACAATCAGAGCTGAAACCTCTGCTTGAAAAAATAACCCATTTGACAATGATGGTACACTGGAAAAGAGAAACATCTTTCAAACTTGTGGAACAATGTCAAAAGTAGCCAGGAGGTATGAACTCTCAATTCGCTTACTTGACTTTTTTGGATCCAAGGTGTAGAGGGTAAAATTTGATCTCCTTGGACGGGCTTTGCTGCAGTAATGTCTGTGAACCCTTGTCAATAAAAAGAGACTGTGAAAATATTAAGGAACAGTTGCTTTTCCTGAGGGAATCAACACTAAGGGCAGCAAAGAAGATGAATCGGTGAGGAGACTCCACCTATGTAAAAATAACTTTGCCCCTTTCCCCTTAATTTCAAACAGAAAGCTTTTGCTCATATGAATGTGTCATGATGGAAACTGAGGGCGAGCTTTTTTTTGAGACAGAATCTCATTCTGTCACCCAGGTTGCAGTGCAGTGGCACAATCTCGGCTCACTGCAATCTCTACCTCCCAGGTTCAAAGGATTCTCCTGCCTCAGCGTCCTGAGAGCTGGGGCTACAAGTGCACACCACCACTCCTGGCTAATTTTTTATTTTTACTAGAGATGGTGTTTCACCATGTTAGCCAGGCTGGTCTCAAACTCCTGACCTCAAGGTGATCCACGCGCCTCAGCCTCCCAAAGTGCTGAGATTACAGGCATGAGCCACCATGCCCAGCCGTGAGCTCTTTCTCAAATGGATGAATCAGATATATAGGAACACACCCTGGGAAGCTCAATATTATATATTCTATAATGTACATAATGATAATTATACATATGATATACATAATAAACACCAACATCAGCATTCAACTTCAATGTGACAAGAGTTAACAGATGAAGTATTTTTCTGAAAAGAAGGGTACAACTGAAACAGAAATCAGCACCACGTTCTTTGTAAAAATTACATCATGCGCTCTTCATGAAGCCATCAGAACTAATTGAGATTGTAAAGGTGTAAAATGACAAGTATTTTTAAGTCTGATTGTCTTTGAAAATGTAATAGCCCTTGTGGAATCGCCTATGAATCACCTGCTAACCATCATCCAGAGAGGCATGCCTTAAATAATTGGGTTGAATTCACAGAGTTCTTGTTTTGTTTGAAACCAAAAGATGAGAAATATGGACTTACCTTTCTGTCTTCTATTTCCACGCAGGTATTGCAGTCTGCTTTGATATCCTGAGAAGAGAAGAGAAGACAAAAAAAAGTGAGGGAAAGGACAGGAGTCAGACATATGGTCAGAGAATAGTCAGTGGTGTTGCCGAAATGCCCTTTAAAATAATAAAGAGCTCATGCTCCTAACAGTTCTTTCTCGAGTCATTGCTCTTTATAGTGCTTTCTAAAGGTATATGCTGCGGTGTTTGCATTAGAGACATATGGATGTCATAAGTAAGTTTTATTACATGCAGATGTGGGGTGTAGGCAAAGGCTATGGATCAGAGGCCACAGCAAAGAGAAACTGATGACTCATAAAATAATCTGCCCCTCCCCATATAATTCTTCACATCAGCAGAGACTGCCTTTAATTTAATATCTCTCCCATTCAAAATTTAGGATAGCCAGATCTCTCTCACTTCCACACAAACTGTCACCATCTATTTTTTATCTTTTTAACCACCCATCCTTCCATCCTTTATCCATCCACCCAGCCAGCCATGCCCATTCATCTAATCATCCATTCATCCTGGATCCTTCCCCTATCCATCCACCCATCTACCCATTCGACCACCCATCCATCCTCCCTCTATCCATTCATCCTTCATCCTTCCTCTATCTAAACATCATCCACTTGCCCATCCACCCCATTCATCTATCTATCCATTCATCCAGCCAACCATCCACCCAGCCATCAAATCATCCATATACCCTGTATCCTTCCCCTATCCATCCATCCACCCATCTATCCATCCTCTATCCACTCATCTATATATTCTTCCTTCCTTTATCTACCCTCCATTCATCCTTCTACCCACCCATCCATCCACCTATTCATTCACCCATCCTTCATCCATCCATTCATTCACCTATCCATCTACCCTTCCACCCATCCACTCATTCATATTTATCACACACCTACTTTTTTCTGCATTTTTTTTCTGGTTGTCCTGGTATGAGAAAGTGAAACAAACAGAATTCCTACCCTCAGGGAAATCACTAATTAGACAGAATGGAAGACACAGTCACACAAGCCATTGTGGCATTAGTTTATTCATACAAAAGGTATTTCATGAGCATCTGTTGGCTGCTAGAACTTCCTCCAGGCAACGAAGACTCAATAATACACAAGACATATGGCAGGCCTGCCCTGGTGATGCTTACATTCTTCTAGACAAGATAAGCATTAAATAATACATATCAGTTAATTGTATTCCAAAAAGAATATGTACTATGAAGAAAAATAAGGCAAGGAGAAGGAGATGTGAAATGCTGAGGGTAGGGGAATAAGATGTTGATTTTTTTTTTTTTTTTTTTTTTAAAGTGGCAACTAAGAAAAGGCTTGAAGGGAGTTAGGGGGATGAGCCAAGCAGCTCACCAGGGAAGAACATCCTAGGCAAAGAAAGAGCTAGTTCAAAGCCCCAAGGGGGAATGTGTTGGACATAAGTGAAGCAAGAGGAAGAAAGCCACTGTGGCTACAAGGAAATAAGAAAAATAAAAGGGAATGGGAGCACAGGAAGATGTTGACTTTTATTTTGAGAGCAGTGAGAAAACACTCAAGAGTTTTTCTTACTGTGATAAAATACACATATCATTAACAATTTTACTACTGTAAGTACACAGTTCTGTAGCATTACCCATTCACATTGTTGGATAACCAACACCACCCTCCATTTCCAGAATTTTTTCATTTTCCACCTCTACCCATTAAACAGAAACTCCTCACTTTCCCCTCCCAGAGCCCCAGAAAACCACCTTCTGCTTTCTGTCTCCATGGATTTCTCTCCTCTAGACTCCTAATTGTATAAGTCTGCTAGAAATGCCATAAAAAATATTACAGAGCAGGTAGCTTCAACAACTAAAATTCATTTTCTCAGAAATCTGAGGGCCAGAATTTCAAGGTCAAGGCTCTGTCAGGGTTCCTGGTGAGGCCTCTCTTCTTGGTTTGTAGATGCCTCCTTCCCATTGTGCCTCACACCTTCTCTGAGAGCTAGAGGGAGACAAATGCATGATTTCTTTCTTTTTTTTTTTTTTTTTTTTCAAGATGGAGTTTTACTCTTCTTACCCAGGCTGGAGGGCAATGGTGTGATCTCGGCTCACCTCTGCCTTCCTGGTTCAATCAATTCTCCTGCCTCAGCCTCTCTAGAAGCTGGATTACAAGTGCCCGACACTATACACAGCTAATTTTTAGTATTTTTTAGTAGAGATGGGGTTTCACTATGGTGGCCAGGCTGGTCTCAAACTCCTGACCTCAGGTGATCCACCTGCCTCAGCCTCCCTAAGTGCTGGGATTACAGGCATGAGCCACTGCATGCCAGGCTATCTTTCTTTTCTTTTTTTTTTTTTTGGAGTGAGAGTTTTGCTCGTTACCCAGGCTGGAGTGCAATGGCGCGATCTCGGCTCACCGCAACCTCCGCCTCCCGGGTTCAGGCAATTCTCCTGCCTCAGCCTCCTGAGTAGCTGGGATTACAGGCACAGGCCACCATGCCCAGCTAATTTTTTGTATTTTTAGTAGAGACGTGGTTTCACCATTTTGACCAGGATGGTCTCAATCTCTTGACCTCGTGATCCACCCGCCTCGGCCTCCCAAAGTGCTGGGATTACAGGCGTGAGCCACCGCGCCCGGCGCTATCTTTCTTTTCTTAAAAGGCCATCAATCCTATTGGAGTAAGACCCTCCCCTTATGACATCATTTAACCTTAATTACCCCTCTAAAGCCCTAATCTCCACACAGAGTCACACTGGGGGTTAGGACTTCAGTATACAACTTTTCGTATAGGTGAAATCATACAAAATGTGTCCTTCTGTGCCTGGTTTATTTCACTTAGCATAATGTCTTCAAGGTTCATCCATGTGGTAGCATGTGTTAGAATTTCATTCTTATTAAGGCTGAATAACATTCCTTGTATGGACAGACCACATTTTGTTTATCCATTCATAAGCGCCATCTGTGGATGGACATTTGGGCTGTTTCCACCTTCGGGCTATTGTGAATGGTCCTGCTATCAACATGGGGGTATAAGTATCTATTCAAGTCCCTGCTTTCAATTCTTCTGCGTGTATGCCCAGAAGTGATTGCCAAACCCTGTGGTAATTCAGTGTTTAATTTTTTTGAGAAACCACCCAACTGTTTTCCATAGCAGCTGCACCCCTTCATCTTCCTACTAAAAGTGTGCAAGGGTTCCAATCTGTCCGCATTCTCATCAGCACCTGTGTATTTCACTCAGGCAGTTTGAGAAGAGGACAGGCGTGATCTGACTTCTATTTTAACAGAATCAGCAGTCAGGGGGATACAAATATAAGGAGAGAGACCAGTTTGGAAGCTCCTACCGGAGTCCAGGTGTGCAATGATGGTGTCTGGATGACAGTGTGTCAGGGGAGGGGAAGAGAAGTAGCCAGAGACCAGACAGAATCAATCAATGGGACGTCTTCACAGACAGGATGTAGCATCGGAGAGAAAGATGGCGGTCAGGGGCCATGCCATGGTCTCTAGACTGGGCGTGCTCTCCATGTAGGCAGGGAGGGTGTGGATGTGCACGGTGGCATAGGGGGCTGCAGACATTAGGGGCTCCGTTTTGGTTAAGCCTATAGAAATGTTTATTTTCTCACCAAGAAGTAGTGGGGTTTTCTCTGTCAGTGCATCATTAGGAAAGGTTAATCTGAGAAGCCATCACCACAGGGATTTATTAGTAAACACAGCAAATTCTAGGTCCCTTTGAATCCAGAATGGAGTGAAAGGAGATTATTTCACAAGGTGAAGATTCATGTAGCAAATATTTTGTTTTATATAGAACAGACTGTTTTCATATCAGTAAAGTGGGACTGAACAGTAAGGAAAGACTGAATATCTCTTCGGTGCCAGGAACTGTGCTGGGTGTTTTTCTTTTGCCTCTAAATTACTAACAATCAAAGAAGGCGGGTATTCCTTAATCACTCCGTGGTATGACAGTTGTAGCCATCAGGTAAGTCACCCTGAATCACACAGTGAGGGAGCTTACGTCTGTGACCAGAAGTGGTCCCTAACCAGGTGCTTTTCCTTCCCTCCAGGTAACTGTATTTTCCTCAAGGTGGTTTGCTTAGCCAACATAATTTAGGCCACAGGTTTCGCTCTTTTCTGTGCTGTAGGGAGGAGGGGTTATTCACAGAAACATCTGGAGAAGTGGAGTAGCTGTGCTTCTCAAAGTGAGACTCTGTGACCAGTAGCATTAGCTGCTATTAAAAATGCATATTCTTACAGTTATTACGGAAAACAGTATGAAGGTTCCTCGAAAACTTAAAACTAAATGTACTCTATGATCCAGTAATGCCACTGCTGGATATTTACCCAAAAGAAATGAAACGTGTATGTCAAAGAGATCTCTGCACCCCCTTCTTCATTGCAGCGCTGCACACGAGAGCCAAGACATGGAATCAAACTGAATATCCCACATGTTTATAGCTGCACAAGTCACAAATGCAAAAATACAGAACCAGCCCAAATGCCCATCAATCAACAAGTGGGTAAAGACAGCGTGGCATATTGGAATACTTTATATATGTAGAATACTACGTAATAGTATATAGTATTATACCATGGAATACAATAGAATACGATACAATGGAATACTATGTATATTGCATAGCATTTCATACTATGTATAAGAAAGTGTTCTGTATCGTATTCTAGATATATTACATATAGAATATTCTAATATTCGATTATATAGTATTATACCATGAAATACAATAGAATATGATACAATGGAATACTATATATATTGTATAGCATTTCATACTATGTATAATAAAGTGTTCTGTATTGTATTCTAGATATATTATATATAGAATATTCTAATATTCGATTATATAGTATTATACCATGAAATACAATAGAATATGATACAATGGAATACTATATATATTGTATAGCATTTCATACTATATAAAGTGTTCTGTGTCATATTCTATATATATTCTCTCTATATATAGAAATTATATATAGAATATTCTCTATATATTACATCACATTCTATATATATAGATAT